GGGAACTATTAGGTTTAGACCCCTGACATTTCCCTTTTGATTTGAATAGAAAAAGACATTGAGGACACAGAGTCCTTAATGTCTTTTTCTGCAGCCTCAGCACTCAGCCTCATTCACACAGTGAATGGGAAGCACTCAGTACAGAGGCTTCCCATTCATTCACAAACTGCTGATAGTAAGATATTTACTATCAAGCAGATTCTCAATGGGGAAAATCCTCTGTACTGAGTGCTTCTCCCCATTGAGAAATTCATGAATGAACAGGAGGTGATGTGAATCGCCTCCTGTTCATTCATAACTGGGGACACATAGTACTATGTGTCCCCTGTTATTTACAAACACTGGAGTGATCAGACGACCGCTCCAGTGTTTGTGCTGCACATGGAGGATAGGTAACTATCAATGATACTTACTGATCCTTCGCTCGGCCATGCACACAGCCACTGTCATCCTGAAACTGAGAGGAGGACAGCGGCTCCGCTCTCCTCCCCGCCTGCTGCTCGATCACGATGATCGAGCGGCAGGCGAGGAGGAGAGCGGAACCGCTGTCCTCCTCTCAGCTTCAGGATGAGAGGCTCCTCCACCGTCCATTTTTTTTCCGGATACCCGATGCCTCAGACCATACAAGTGGGGGAGAGCACGGGGATCCGGGCCCCCCCAGTGTCGCGGGCCCCATAGCGACCGCCACTGGTAGTACAGTTCACTCCACAATTCCTTGGTAGCCTTGAGATTTTATCTGCACAGTCTGAAGGCACCCCATGCCAGATGTAGCAAAACAGACCCAAAACATAACTGAGCCTTCTCTGTGTTTCGCAGTAGTACTGGGGACGATTTTTCACTTCCAAGGAGGTTGGCTACACTCCCTTGGACCTTAAACATCTTAAAGTGACACTAAACTCAGGAGTTAAATCTTAAAAATACATTCAGGTATCTTAATTATTAACAAAAATTTATCTTATTTGTGTATCAGTCGGCTGTAGATCCTCAAATCATCTCTGAATTGGTGCTGGCACTGTCTTTCCTTCTGGAGGGGGGTTACTTTTGTTCCCCATGGTCCACCGCTCCTAGCTCAACCCGTAATGGACTTCAATCTCATGTTTGTTTAATAATTTGTATCAAGATTGTAGTCAACCACGGGAGGGAGCTTGGAGTGGTGGCTACTTTACAACACACAGGGACCATGGGGAACAAAAGTAGCCACCCTCCAGAAGGAAGGACAGTGTCAGCACCAATTCAGAGAGGATTTGAGGATCTACAGTTTAGTGGTTCACAAAGAAGCTGTTAATAGTTTATGTACTTGAATGTATTTTTAAGATTTAACTCACTTTAGTGTCACTTTAATAATATTTGCCACTATGGTCACAGGAACATCAATCTGCTTGGAGATGATCTTGTAGCCTTTACCTTTGATATGCTGATCTATAATTTTCTTTCTGACCTCCTCAGACAACTCTTTTCTATGCTTCCTCTAGTCCATGTTCAGTGTAGTACAGAAAAGGAAACCAAACATCAGAGTAACAACTTTTCTTTATTTAATTAGGCTGATTGACTAATCACAAGAATAAACATGTGTAAGATAATAATTACAGAAAACAATTAAAAATATCACTCTGATCCAATTATTTATAATTACCAACAAATCTGTCCAGGCTATATTAGAATATTTTGTACAATAAGAAATAATTGATCTCTTTTTACACTTTCTTTGCTTTGCTCTATGACATACCAAAGGCATGCAGATGTAGATGAGCAAATTATGTTTAATGTCATCACTTTTCAGAAGGAGTGAATCATTTTTTCAATGAGCTGTAAGGGTGCCAACAAATGTGCCCAGGTCTGCATTTACTATCTTCTTTGCAGGGTGTGCTTTGATTCATAATCTCATTTTAGTGTTAGAGTCTCTTTAAAATACCATTACTGTATCCCACCTCCAATGAGACAAAAGTAACTTTTCGCTGCTGCACCCATGTGTCTGGATCTAAGCCGGCTCTGATATAATATCTGCAACTTCCCCCTCCTTTTCCTGCTCCATTCAGGCCACAAGTCCGAAGAAATGAGCCCAACTTGTTCGCAGCATCTCCCTCCCCGGGTACCACCCCTCCCCATCAGCAGCATCTCCATCACTTGGACCGAGTTCGGCCACTGCGCCTGCGCACCGCATCCCACTCCTCGGCCCCGCCCACCGCACGTCACTCACACATTCAGCTCCCGTACAAAACACTGGAGCGGGCGCGCTCCCGTGCGTGTACCCCTCCCCGGAGTACGCGTGCACGTCCCCTCCTCTTTTTCTCCTTCAGCTCCTCCTCCTCCGGGCATCGCTCGCGCGCGCGCGCCTCGATACCAACTTTTCTTCTCTCAGCCGCTTG